GCCCCGGGGGTCGCCGACGCGCTGGGGTCCGCGGCCTGGGCAGCACGCCAGCACGGCCCATCTGGGGAACAGATGTGTTGTTTGCAAACCTCCGCCCAGAGGCCGCAAGGTGGGACGGAGGGGCCCCAGTTCCGGGGACACGGTCCTGCTTACACGCCTAGTGGGTCTGGCAATATTCAGGACCTCCTTATGCTAAAAGGTGATTCCTTGTTTACCTGAAATTCAAATGTAACTGGGCATCCTGTGTCTTATCTCAGTGCTATTTCCTGGACCACCCTCCCCTCCTCACCTCCCTTCCCTGCTTTATTATTTCATGTAAACTTTTTATTGAGGCATGAAAAAAAGGGCACAAATCTTAACTGACCGGATGCATGAGACTTCACAAAGTACCCCGGGTAACCAGCGCCCAGAGCTAGAGATGGAACGTGAGCCCGGATGCCCCCCAGGCCCCTCCGGCCCCACCGCCCCCCACCCACAGCTAGCCACCGTCTGTATTCCCAGCCGCATGCATTGACTTTCCAGCTTTGGGGGCGTCTATGTGTGGAAGCACACAGTATGCTCTCGTGGCTGTTCGGAGCTGCGTCCCTGTGGCTGGGTGCCTCATCTGTTCTCAGTGATCTAGCATATTCTATCATGATACAGCACCCTTTGTTTCCCCATCCCCTGTTGATGGGCATTTCTAGTCTGAGGGTCTTATAAATAGAGCTGTGAAGAATATTCTGGCACAAACCTCCCTCACACTTGACAGACATCACCAGTTACTGGAAGGGCACGGGGTATGTTCTGTATGAGCATCTCCCCCCGCCCAGGCGTGCGTGCCCTGGCCTTCCTGCTCTCTCTGACAACCCAGCCCCCAGCACATCGCCTGCACAAAGCCCGTGCTTAGTATGCATTTAGGGGATGAAAGAACACGAGCTCCCTCTTCCTGGAGCATTCCGTTCAGGGCATCTCAGAGACAATGCCCGGCAAGGATTAGCTTTGGGGCACAGCACTTGGATTTGCATGCATTTTGACTGAGGACCCAGGCAACTGCCATGCAAATGTTTAGGGAAATGTCTTCCTTGGCCCCGCGAGAGGACCAGATTGAGTGGATGTGGGGCAGGAACCTGCCTTCTTCCCCGTGGCCGCCCGCCCGCTGGGCTCCACCTGCGTGGGGTGTCCTGTTTATAGCCACCAAGGGCTGCCTGCCCTCCCTCCACCCTGGCAGTCACCAGTGGGAACATTCCTGGGCTTCTGAATGCCTCCAGCGCCCCCCCGCCCCGAGTCCATGCAGTGCTGGATGATAGAGGATAATAAAGGGTTCCAGTCCCAGCACCGCCCTGGCGCTTGGCCCCTCAGACCTGTGCTTTCAGAGTCCTGTAAAAATAGCCTGCCTGTGGCTATTTTGGGTCCTGGGAAGCCTCGGGGAGACTCCGTGTTCCGAGGAGGACCAAGAGGGAACCCAGAGCAGCCAGCTGAGAGGGGAGATGGAGGTCCACAGGCAAAGCTAGCGCAGATGGTGTCTTCTAGCAAACGGGAATGTTTCTAAAAATCACAAAATAGCGGCCGGTGTGTAAGAATAATGGGCAATGTTCACATGAAAAGGCAGTCAGCCTCTCTCTGCCGCCCATGCTGGTTGCCTGCCTGGCCTGGAAGGTATTTGAATCGTGGCCCTGGGAGGGCTCGATCCTGTGGGGGGCCTGGTTGTTGGGCGGGGGGGGGCTTACGTAGCAGGAACGCGGTCACACATCAGCTGGGGAGTGGAGGGCAGCAGGGCTCTGGTGGGTAAAATAGCGAGGTCCCTTCAGAAGGCCCAGCTGAGAGTTCTCTCTTTCCTTTATATACCTCTCCCTTCAGATGGACTCCGTCTCTTTCTCTGTGAAACTAACGTTAGAATGTTTTTTGGAAACATATTCAGAGAAAACATACTTACTCCGGTCTCTTCTCCCCACCCGCCCCCTCCGTGCTTTATTTTCCCCAGCACCATGACCCCCACCCACCCTGCCCGGCAAGCCTCTTGCTTCTTTCTTTGGGGTCTGTTCCCACCATCAGACTGTGTCTCAGCCTGTTCTGTCCCTAGCACTTAGAATACAGCCCTGCACACAGTAGGCGCTCCATAAATGTTTGCCGACGCAATCAACCCACTTCATAAATGGTGGGCTTCTTTCTCATTACTAATGCTGAAAGCACACTCTGCTCTCGCATCTGGGACTTCGAGACGTCGGCGTCTCCCCAAAGCGGGCAAGGAGGTAGCAGCCCAGGGTTTCCCATCCCCGGAATGAGGAGCAGAAAGGTCCCGTAGTCACTGGGGAAGCAGCCAGAACGGGCCTCCAGGGGTGTCAGGGGCCCATGCTCAGGCTCTAACACCCAGGGGTCTGTGATTAGGACAGAAGGGAGCGACGGAGTCTGGAATCTGCTCCTCATTCGTCTGCGGAGCCCACACCAGTCACTGTGAAGGGCTGCCTGAGTGCTGGAAGCTTCCAGAAGCTTCTCGCCAGCCTTCAGATATCTGCGGCAGGAAGTGGACGCTCAGGCAGCGAAGGACCATTGTTAGAGCCACAAGCATTTCAGGAATGGTTTCGCAAGGCTCACATTTGCCCTCTTTCTCTCTCTGACAGGGACGGCTGGGGAGGGAGGTCTGCTCGGCAGCCGCACTGAGGAACGCCGGAGGCTGCCTGAGCTCCGACTGCCAGCGGAGCTCTGAAAATGCCCTGGTTTTCCGCCCCGGCTGCGGGCTGGGGTCCCTGGAGCAACGCTCAGCCGGGCCCCACCCCGGGGGTTCTGGTGTGATTGGTCTGGACACCAAGAGTTTTAAAAGTTCCCTCAGGAATTCGAGTGCCCATCCAGGCTTCAGAGTCAGCGTGTTAATGCACGTTTGCCTGTAGGGGTAGCCTGAACTACCCTTTACTGGGCGCCTTCTGCATACTAGATGGTTTTTTGTTTTGTTTTATTTTGTGTGTGTTGTTGTTGTTTGCAAATGTTAGGAACTGCACTCCCTGCGGGGCTCTGATGGAAGCAGCAGAACTGCCCAGTGGTTGGACGGAGCCAGCAGGTGGCAGGTTTGGTGCTTTGGCTTCTTCCTTCACTGCAGTCTCCATGGGAGTTAGACGTGAGGAAACACACTCAGACAAGTGGTTTTCTCCAGGTTGCCATGAGAAGCAGAATAATGCCCCCCGAGACGTGGCCCCGTCCTAGTCCCTGTAACCTGTGACAAGTCACCTTACATGGGAGGGGGGAATGAAAGTTGCAGAGGGCAGTAAGATTGCTGATCAGCTGCCTTTTCAATGGGGAGATTATTCTGGATTATCTGGATGAGCCCAGAGTCATCACAAGGCTCTTTTAAAATGTGGAAGAGAGAGGCAGGAGGGCCAGTGTCGGAGTGAAAAAGGTAAGATGGGCCTTTCCTGGCTTTGAAGATGGGAGAAGAGGCAATCCATCGCGGGGTTTGGCTGGCCTCTAGATGCTAAGAAAGGCAAGAAAACAGATTTTTCCCCAGAGCCTCCAGGAGGCACGCAGCCCTGCCGACACCTTGACTTTCAGCTCAGTGAGACCCATTCTAGACGTCCGAACTCCAGAACTGTAAGAGGACAATTGTGTGTTGTATTAAGACACTGACGTTGTGGTGCTTTGTTATAGTAGCTGTCGGAAACCCATACAGTCGCCTAGCTAAGTAAGTGACGGTGTTGCGCTCCGAATGCAGGCAGCCTGACTCCGTGGCAGCAGGAAACATGCACTCACAGCCTGGATTTTCTGAGACAACCCTGATTTCAGTATTCGTCTCTGCATAAGAGCTCGAGGTAGGGACAACACAGCTCTGTGCCTATACGACAAGAAGGAACTTCCTTATTGAATTTATTTTTCCTCAGTAGCTGTCAAACCCCCACATGGCAAGGACCTTAGTAACCTCTAACATCCTTTCTCCCCATAGTAACGGACCCCCGACTGGGAGCAGGGGCTGCCCAGAATATACCCTACACTTCCCAGCCTCTCTGGGGTTTAGGTATGGTCATGTGACTGGCATAGCCAACGGGAAGCACTCTTTGAGGCAAGGGGTGCACAGGGCTGAGACATCCTGGACCTTGCAGACAAGGCATCACCTTAGAAAAGGGACCCAACAGGCTCCTCCCCAGGGTGGGTATTTAGAAGGGTCAGCAATAGGCATGGAGGGCATGCAAGGTCTTTACTAAAAAGCTGTCTGTGAAATACCATGTTTTATCTCTCAGAAAACCTGCTAATTGAATTTCCCCTCCTTTATTGGTTAGCTTAGTTTTGGCTAGAGAGGCTTCACCAAGTTTTGGAGTCTCTGCCTTTTTCAACTTGTGACTCTGCCATCCTCATGCTCCAAAATTGTTGCTTGAGCTCCAGCCATTGAATCTCCTTTCCAAGCTGGGGGTGGGGAAGAGAAAGGAACAGAGAAGAACCTGCTCCTTTTTTTCTTTTTTTTAAGATTTTATTTATTTATTTGACAGAGAGAGAGAGACAGCGAGAGAGGGAACACAAGCAGGGGAGCTGGAGAGGGAGAAGCAGGCTCCCCGCCGAGCACGGAGCCCAACACGGGGCTCGATCCCAGGACCACGACCCGAGCCGAAGGTAGACGCCCAATGACTGAGCCACCCAGGCGCCCCACCTCTGCTCCTTTTAAGAACATTTTCCACACTGCTATGTCCCATGGCCACACCTCACTGCAAAGAAAATGTGTCTTTATCCTGGGTGGTCCTGCGACCAGCTAAAATTATAACTGAGGTGAGGGCGGAACACAGATACTGGGGACACCCCACACTTTCTGCTATGTTCTGCCAAATCAGATCTGTTCAGAAGGACCGTCTGATGACAGGTGGGAGCTTGATATAACAGTGTCGTTCCATTTAAGTTGATTGGCTGTGTGGCCTTAGATGAGCCGCTTGACCCTTCTGGGCCTCTTTTGTTCACCTTCAAAATTGAAGTAGAATAACAAAGTCTTTAGTGTGTCTTTCGGCAGAATCCTCTTCTACGAGTCTGAGAACCGTCTCCTTTTTAGGCACAGAGGACGTTGTGATATTCAAAGAAAATGGGCGCACGGCATGCATGGTGCGTCTTTGGTGTCTGGCTGACCCGTCCTCCTGTCCTGAGGGGCCGGGGGAAGCCGCCTTCCTGGCTCGCCTCCTCCTGGCCAAACGCAGATGCAGGTTTTGGACCAAATGACTACAAGGTACCCAGCACACCTTGCATCAGTGCCACTTCCGCTGGCCGATCAACATTTTAACCGAAATAAAATAAGAACTGGGTCTGTTTCGTCCTGCTGCTGTACCAAATGACCATCCACTTAGCGGCTCGAACAGCCGCGATTTCTTCTCTTACAGATCTGGAGGTCACAAGTCCCACACGGGCCTCGAGGGGCTGCGTTCCTTCTGGAGGCTCCGGGGGAGAGTCCGTTTCCTGCTCATCGGGTCGTCGGCAGAATCCAGTGTCCTGTGGCTGGAGGCCTGACATCTTTGGAAGGCAACAGTCTGCTTACCGCGGGAACGAAGTCCTGGGTGTCCGTGAGGTCACAAACGGATTTGTTGCCAGAAACTGAATTGTCGTTTAGCAATTAGGCCCCCGGTTGTGTTCGGCCTGCACGTAGCCAGTCAGGTGGAGGTCAGGTGTGAGCAGGGAGGCCGGGACGCTGAGCCACAGCGTCCTTTTCCTCCCCACTTCTGAGCTGCCCTGGACGGGTCCTTGTTATTCCGGCCTCGGGGGTTCCCTGCCTCCCTGGCTAGCTCCTCCCCGAACGCACAGCTCGCCAAGGCCAGCTCACTCTTTCTGGAACACACTTCCCCATCCGACGATACCTCCTGAAATGTGCCCAAGGCAGAGAACCTCTCTTGTCTCCACCCTCCGCCCGGCTCTCCCAGAGGACAGCTCTGCGTCTGAGGTTAAGGACCAAGTGGCCAAGGGTGGTCGTTTCGTTGAGGCCTAGATGGTGGGGTGCCCACATCAGCCCCCAGCTCTGGCAGTGGCTGGGGAGGCAGGCCAGGGCGGCTCGGGCACCCGGGCTTCCGAGTCACACTGCCCGGGTTCAAATCCTGGCTCCACGTGAGAGCTGGGGAGCCTGGAGCATGTTTCTTGACTTCTCTGTGCCTTGCTTCCCTCTCTTGTAAAAGGTGAATAATGATGGCATTTCCCTCAAGGGATGGTTGATTGAGATAATCAGCGCCAACTGCTTGCACTGGGGAGAGCCTGGAACTTTCGCCATGGGTTGGTAATCCCACGGTCGTGACTGTCATGGGGTCAGCACATGCTCCGCGCTCGCACTGCAGCTGTGGGCTCGGTGGGTGTCCCGCATCAGCCGAGGCTCTGTCTGGGCATCATGTGGGCAGGGGCACGGGGTGCTTGGGGGGGACAAGGAGCTGGCACGTGTTTCTCCCAGGCTTGTACTCCCTCTAAAGAAAAGTTCAAAAAGCAGCAACTTCAACTCTCTTTACTTGGGATTCTGTTTCTCTTTTCCAGGCCGTATGAGATGGCTTTGACCATTGATCTCGCCCCGCTCAGCACCGGGGGTGTCTAGGCAAAGCTCTGGCCAAATTTCTAAGGCTCTTTCTAAAGGGCAGATGCCATTCAGGGCTATCCCATGTGATCCTCAAAGTCCCTTGCAGAAAAGGTGGGATTACCCTCCGTCTATACAGATAGTAATAATGGTAGGAGATACTGCTTAGCACTTCCTAGGTACCAGGGTCTGTGCCAAGCACGATCAAGAATCCAAGAGGTGGCCTGTCTTACGGAGCGAGAACTAGCTGGCATCCCTTACAAATGGGAGGAGGTAGCAGGAATCCAAGACCAGGCTGGTCTTACTCAGCCTGCGCTCTTTCTTCTGTCGCCTGATTAAACAATAATTCCAGATTTTTAATTTCCCCCAAAGCACCAGCTTCCTCCTTGACACCATGCTGAGCACATTTGGACGTGGGGAGAGAAGGGGAAAAGTCACCATCTCCTAGTTGAGGCTTGGTTACTCTGATAGATGTCCTTGCAGAGCCACATCACTCTGCAAAGAGAAACTTTGGTTGTAAAAGATGAATGTTGTGCCCGTCTAGATCAGATTTAGAAAGCCCCATGCTGGGAGTTGTGCTACTTACAAATATTGCTCATTATTAGGTTGCTTTTACCGTTTGGTAAGGAATTTAAATCCCCCATCAAGTAAATGAATTGCTATTAATTTAAAAGAATAGCCTTGGATTTCCACTTCTTTCTAAATAAAGTCTCAGGGAGAGAAAAGGGACAGGTGGACATTACAGGTGAATTTTGTTGTATATTTGTAAAATTCCAAGGTGTGTGCAAATGAGAACAAACACGGGGATGCAGATATTAGCTTAAGCTTGCTGCGAGCGTGCCACTTCTTAACTCACTCTGAAAAATCCAATACTTCAAAAAAAAAAAAAATCTTTACTATGCTGCTACAGTAAATGGAAAACACTACCGCTTGCCAGAAGCAATACTCATCATTGTCATTATTAGTGGGGACATTGTGAGCATTCACCCCATGGCAGGAACTGCCAGAATGCTTTGTAGACTGTGTGACGGGTTCTTCCTCGTGGATGTCTCTAGGAGACTGGCTCCATTATTCCCATTTGACAGATGAAGAAACTGAGGTCCAGTCCTCCTTAGTACATCAACGATAGGGGTGTCAATGAAGACAGGAAACCTACTTCGATCCATCTTTTTAATGCACCTGAATTGCCTTGTTCCCCTCTCCCCGCCCCTGACTCCACTCACCTATCTCCTATCATCCTTAAAAGTTGAGAAACTTTGCCCAGTGTCACCCCTCCGCCCCCAGCCTAGGCTGGAGGAGGCCCTCTCCCCTCCCACCTCTGGAGCTCGGAGGCACCCACCACAGGCCTGTCCATATGCACCCTTCTCCTTCAGCAGGCGGGCTCCTCCGGGGCAGGGACAGAGCCCCCCCACTCCCCCTCCCCAGCCAGGGCACACGCTGGGGGCTCAGCGAACACTTGTTGAGTAGATGAGTGGAGGAAGCGAATGTGGAAAGCAAGTCAGAACCAGGGTCCTGCACAGCTGAGGTGCCCCGGTGCTTGAGGTGGTCCTTGCCTTTGGTTTCAGTGATGATGTGTCTCTTTTTAGGGCCACTGCTCTGAGCCTCTACAAAATGGGACAACAGAGGAAGGGAGCCACACTACTGCAACTCATTAAGTGAGTTAATACTGTGGCATCTGGAGCCGTTCCTGGCTCAGAACAAATGCTCAAAAAGATCAGTAACATTATTTATTATCATGCTATATATTGTCTATCCACATATAATCACCATTTATGACAGGTGATGTTGGTTTTCCATTTACGGTCGTGTTGTGAGGTTTCAGTTGAAAATAAATGTATTTGATTCTTAAAAGTGAGTTGAAAAGGATTAAATATCAGCGAGTTGGTACCCAGTCTGGTCCAGTTCCTGCAGTGGTATTGAACGACGGGGTAACAAGACCCCAGGGGAAAGGAACTCAGTGTGGGGCAGCTTTTGTAATCACAGGCTGGTTGCCTGGAGTCCAGGGCCACGTGGCCATCCTTGTGGCCTGGGGCACTGAGTGGCCGTGGAGAGGCCAAGGGTCATAGGAGGAGCCTGCACAAACCTGTCCCGAATCGTGGGTGTGCTCCCACCCAGGGCAGCCTCCACCCCAGACCAGGGCTGGTATTTTTAGTGCATCAGCACCCTGCACAGCCTCCTACACTCTGACCAAATTTAGAAATCTCAAGAGGTCTTTGCACTTCCACGCCTTCAGTGGGAGCAATGAATGAAAAGGCCTCCAGCTCTCAGTCTAGCTAGAGCCAGCCTTAACGTTTGCAGGGCTGTCTCTCTGGACTGGTGGGAAGCCCAGGATTTATCCAGCGGTGAGAGAAAGCAAGCTGCAGAATCACGTGTGTGGTCTGGGGCCACTTCCGCAAAAGCACAACAAAATCCACCACGTGAAAGCGTGTCTGGGCTGCGGAGCCAGGAGAGGGGTGTGGGAGGGACCCCCTCTGCACAGACTGCCAACAACGGGAATGGGGGTGGGGTGGGGGACGGGGTGGCACTGGAGGCCGGGGAGATGAGAAACTGTGTGTGCTCTTATCAGCGGTTTATATTTACCATTTCCTTTGTTAAAACAAGTATGTGTTTCTTCTGAAATTTGAAAACCCTGAGCACCAAAGGTCTAAAAACATCTCAAGACTGAAAAGCCTCAACCTGAACGCTTCTAAGGAATCTCAGTGAACCCAGTGCTTCCAAGACTGCAAGTGGTAGACCCTCACTGCTCTGACAGCCACACATCCATCCCTAATCGCCCAGATGTTCCCCAGAGGCTCCTGCTCAGGGCTCTGGTCCCCCGGTTCTAACTCCACCCCCGGCCCCGGGAGGGGCGTGGCCATGGCTGGCCAATCAGAGCACTGCATGTCCCTGGCTCTCCAGGGCTGGGGCTGGCCCCTAGCAGGGAGATGACTGGAAACAGAAAACCCAAAACCCTTTGCTGAAGAGTTACTGTGGAAGCTCCTGTCCTACGAACCAATTCATTCCCTGTTGGCGGAGATGGTCTGAGACTTGTCTGAGTTGGGATTGGGTCTCTGTGAGCAAAGGTCTGATGGCTGAATGACCAGGAATGTTGATATAGGTGGTTAAACAAGGCCGTATTAAAATTAAATAATATAAGTTTATAATTAAATGAATTATATTAAAACCAAAGGTAGTAAATACCCAGAACGTATCACCCCCTGGCTTAATTCACTACACTTTACTTTCTATGCCCTTGGGGTGATTTACCTCCACTGTTTCTCTACAGTGGAAATGCCCTATGATGGTGTATGCCTGGGGGTCTCTTCCCAACTCCACACCCATGGAGTCATGCTGGTAGCTTGGAACATGTCATGGAGGGAGTACTTACACCATGGGATCTGGCAAATGCCACCAATAGGCTTCTCCCACCCAAAGCCCTTGTTAAACGCTTACCAGCAGAAAGGAGGCCAGTAACACATGCAGGGATTCGTCTGTTCTTCAGGAACCCCAAGTAATAGGAAGGAGAGTGTGTAAGCATCTTCAGGGCAAGAACCACACTTTATCTCATGTGGTTTTTCCCAGCACCTAGCTGAGACATTCAGTTTCTGCGTGTTGATTGACTTACGGAAATGAAGATCCAAGAAGTCAAGGGCTTTGCCCAAGGTCACCTGGGGGGTGGTAAGGACCTGAACATAGTTACTCCAGATCCTGAGCCCCACCTTGGGATCAGTTCTTTCTTTGTGCACTGCCCTCTGACACCTTGCTGACTGAAAGGCCCTGTGGGATGCTGGGCCAAAATGCTCTGTGGTCAGCAATGAAGGAGAATCTGCTCCTCCCAGTGGCGCTGATGTTCAAGGCCTCTGTTTTGAGCACTCATTCCTTGGCAGCTTGCAACTTTGCAAGGTGATTTTAGCAAGTGCATGGGCACAGCATTTAATAACACAGAGTCCCAAGTTGAGGGGGGCATGGCTTTTCCAAAATACATGCAGCAGAAACCAAAAGGACAAATAGACAAATCCACAATTATAGTTGAAGACCTCAGCATTGTCCTCTCTAAGCTGTTGAAAGAATAAAAAGACAGAAAATCAGTAGGGATATAAAAGCCCTGGACAATCCTATCAACTTGACCTAAGTGGCATTTTAGAACATTCCACCCAACAGCAGAATACACATTTTTCTCAAGTGCACATTGAACATTCACCAAAGTAGACCTTCCTCTGGACAATAAAACAAATCCTAACAGACTGAAGAGAAATGACATCAGACAAAGTGTTCTCTGATCATAATGTAATAAATTTGGAAATCACTAACAGAAAGGTATCTGAAAATTCCCAAAGATTTGAAAGTTAAACATACTTCTAAATAACCTATGGATCCAAGTGGTAATCTCAAGGGAAAGTAGAAAATATTTTGAACTGACCAAAAATAAAAACACAACATATCAAGGTTTATAAAATGCAAATAAAGCAGTACCGAGAGGGAATTTTATAACATCGAGTGCTTACGTTAGAAAATAAAAAATGGTTTCAAATGAATTACCCAAGCTTCTACTTTAAGAAACCAGGAAAAGAGTAGCAAATGTAATCAGAAGGAGTGAAGTGATAAAGACAAGAACAGAAATCAATGGACTTAAAATTAGGAAAACGAGAAAGAAAATTAATGAAACAAAAAAGCTGGCTCTTTGGAAAGATGAACAAAATTGATAAACCTCCAGCTAGACTGACCATGGCAGAAAAGGAGAAGACAGAATTAACAGTGTTAGGAAGGAAGGAATTGCTATAGACTCTCCAGACATAACAAAGATAATAAAGGAACATCACAAACAACTTTATTCCCTAGAATTTGCAGCTGAGATGAAATGAGCAGTTGCCTGAAAGACATGAACTACCAAAGCTGGCTCAGGCAAGAAGACTCAGCCATAAAAAAGAATGACATCTTT